TGGGCCTGGGGTGGGGATGTGGGCCTGGGGTGGGGATGTGGACCTGGGGTGGGGATGTGGGACTGGGGTAGAGATATGGGCCTGGGGTGGGGATATGCGCCTGCTATGGAGATATGAACCTGGGATATATTGTCCTGGGGTGGAGATATGGGCCTGGAGAGGGCATATTGCCTCTAGTGGAGATAAGAGTCTCCAGGTATAGACCTGGCCTTGGAGGCTGGGCCTCTGCACAGCCAAGAGCCCTGTTGTCTAGGGTCAGATGGGCAATGAGGCTGAGTTTACCTTCAACCTAAAAAGGGCCTGGCTGCCAAGGCACACAGCACACTCGGGGCAGCAGGGCAGGCCTGGTGTGTGTGCAGATGGATCATCCATCATGCCCTTTCTTTCCAGGGTTCTTTTTGGTCCAGAGGGCCTGGCCACATGAAGGTGAGTCCTTGCCCAAACCTTAGGGTGTCATCTTCCCATTAAGGGAGTTTCCTGAAACAGAAGAAAAATCCTGTTGGGGGTCTCTCATAAACTAGGAAGACAGGACCCTGGGATGCTCGGTCCATAGTTCTTACCCAGCCCTTCCCAGCCTTTCCTTCCCTTGGCTGAGTCAAGCTCCGTGGGGACTGGGGTGACACTGGGGTGCTCCAAGCTGGAGTGTGCGGGGAGGAAGTCATGTCACCGGCAGAGGAAGGGAGGGAAGCAGTGCTAGGAAAGGCCGACCCTCTGAGGACAAAGGTGTAACTCACACCCTCCAGCGTTTCCATGACAGTAGGGGCTGCCGCGGGGCTGCTGTCATTCTACCAGAAGAGGTGGGGGAACCACAGCCATGAGCTTCACATTCTAAGTCCTCTGATGGGGGCTCCGTTGTTTATTGTGGTTCACGCATTGGCCGATACTCCATTCACAAAGGATGTGCCCTGTAGCCCATGTCTACTTTGTGTTGTTTTATGTAAGTAATTTTGCAGTATTAAAATCTACTAAGAGTCCCTCATTCAGCACTTGCTCAAATTTCTCAGCTGACACGTTTGTTGTAGGGAGACACCATGCCTATGCGGGATGGGTCCTTCCTATAGCCCTGGGCACCCAAGTGCGGCAGCAGCCTTAGAAACATGGAAAGGGGGAGAATCTTCTGAGCACAGGGAGGGAGGGGCGGCTCCACATCTTCCTGTCTAAGGTGATGCCTCCTCCTCCCCCAGGTGGTCAGGACAAGCCCACCCTGTCTGCCTGGCCCAGCGCTGTGGTGCCTCGAGGAGGAAACGTGACTCTTCGGTGTCACCATCACTCTAGGTTTATAAAGTTCAGGTTGTACAAGGAAGATGGGATCCTCAATCCTGACTTACAGGGTGGAATATTCTGGAACAGCTACCTCATGTTCCCAGTGACCACAGCACATGCAGGGACCTACAGATGTCAGGGTTTTCACCCAGACTCCCCCACTCCATGGATGGCACTCAGCAACCCCCTGGTGATCAGGGTCACAGGTCAGAGGGCTCCTGTCTGGGCTTCTCACTGTCCCACCTCCTGAATCCCAGAGCTTCTGGTGGGGTGTCCGTCAGGGTCCGATCACCCAGGCCCTGACTGTATTTGGGGTAAAGAGGATTGAATACAGGGAAGTGGGTGCTGTGGTGGGAAGAATAACTGTCCCCAGTGATGGCCACATTCTCATCCCTGGAGCCTGTGACTATTTCTGTTACAGGGCAGGGGACTGAAGGGGAAGATGGAGCTCAGGTTGTTGATGAGTTGACCTTGAGATGGGGAAGCTGCCTGGACTGTCCAGCTGGGCTCAGTGTCATCACAAGTGCCCACATGAGAGGAGGAGGAAGAGGGGAGTGGGGATTGCAGCAGCGTAGTGGGAGGGAGACTCCACCAGCCACTGTGGGCTCTGAAGGTGGAGGAAGGCCACGAGCCATGAATGCAGGTGGCCTCTAGGGGCTGCAGAAGTCAAGGGAACTGATTCTCCCCTGAGTCTCCAGAGGAAATGCAGCTCTGCAGACCCCTTGATTTTAGCCCAGGGAGAACTGGGTCCGATTTCTGTCTCCAGAAGTGGAAGGGCTCGGTGTGTTCTCTCCTGCTGCCATATTGTGATAATTTTCTACAGCAGCAACGAGAAACAACACGGGAACCCAGGCAAGGACAAGTTAAGAAACTCACAGGGATAGCCTCGCATGGTGGCGGGCATGTGTAATCCTAACAATTCGGGAGGCTAAGGCAGGAGAATGACTTAAACTTGGGAGGCAGGGGTTGCAGTGAGCCTAGACCACACCACTACACTCCAGCCTGGGCAAAAGAGTGAGACTCTGTCTCCAAAATAAATAAATTAATTAAAGAACCCCCACCAGGAGAAGGGTGGCTATCGCAAGATCAGCAAGTGGGGGATGCTGAGGCCACCACCAGGCTCGATCCACATAGGGAGGGGTCGATGTTCCTGGAGCCAGCACCAGGGGCCGCCCTATGGAAGCTGGGACCATGGAGAAGCACAGACATGGCAGGAGAGGCTCCCAATCCCCACCAGGAACACGGTGTGTGGACACTGGTGCCCGCCTTACTCATCAGTTCATACCTCCTGCCAGGGATTCCAATTTGTCCAAAACAGATTGAACCAGGCTGTTCAGAGCCTGGACATGCAGCCTGTCGTGGTTCCTCTTCCACCCCCACGTGGACAGTAAGAAAGAGATTAGTGGGAAACAGAATCAACAGCCCAAGGGATGAGGCTGAGCCCAGTGGGAAGGAGTCAGGGGCTACTAGAGACAGAGACAGGGAAGAGGGAGGGAGACCTGCACCAGGGGTGACGGGCACAGAAAGGAGCACGGACACGCAGAGGGAGGAGACAGTCAGACACCAGGGAGGGGAAGCCTCCCTCATTCAAGGTCCCATGGATGAGATGAGAAAGGGAGACGCCTTCTAAACTCACAATCTCTTTTCTTAGGATTCTACAGAAAACCTTCCCTCCAGGCACTCCCAGGTCCCCTGGTGAAATCAGGAGAGACGGTCATCCTGCAATGTTGGTCAGATATCATGTTTGAGTACTTCTTTCTGCACGGAAAGGGGATCACTGAGGACCTCTTGTTTCTTGTTGGAGAGCCCCATGATGGGAGCTCCCAGGCCAACTTCTCCATAGGTCCCATGACGACTACCCTTGCAGGGACCTACAGATGCTACGGTTCTGTCACTCACTCCCCCTATCAGTGGTCATCTCCCAGTGACCCCTTGGACATCGTGATCACAGGTAAGAGTGTCCAGACATTCTTCTCATTGTCACTGGGACACAGAGTGAATGATCCAGGACTTGGAAGCCCCAGGTGCTCATGAAGAAGATGAGTGTGGGGCTCTTATGGAGAGAGACTGACTTGGTGAGGTCTGTACCAGCAGAGACAGAGAAACAGGAGACACAAGTACAGACCACACGTCATAACAGAGGACAGACACAGGGGCCATACAGGGAGTAAGAAAACATAGAAAGAGGTAAAGGGGACACGCAGACAGACAGACATGTCCCATAGAGAGGTGTCCTTCCATGCTGGCTTTGTTCAGACACCTGGCACGGGTTAGAGGTTTTATTTCTGTATTTCCTCTACAAAGTGTTCTCTACCAGGAGAACCACAAGACACCCAGATCTGACCTGAGTTGGACCCTGTGGCCTCAGGCCTTGTGGCACCTACAGATGCCGTGTTTATTCTGACACCTCTGCCTTCCGTGCAGTGGATCTGTAATCATCCCAGGATACCATGGCCCCAGAACACCAACCCCTGTATGCTGTATGTATTTGGATTCCCCAGACTGGATTCTGAGGTTCATATTCCAACTAATCCCATATATTGTAGCATTACTGAGAGACACAGAGAGAAATCAGGGACATCAAAATGCAAAGACATAAACACACACAGGATGAGCCAGGGGAAGGGGATTGAGAGATTCACAGACACATAAAGAGAGAAAAGAGGGCAGAGAAGTGGAGGGAATGATGGAAGGGAGCAGAGAAAGGCCCTAAAATCAGGGCCCTGAGGGAGGGGCACAAGGAGAGAGAAGGATGGAGATGTGGGATGGATTGCAGAGATTCCAGAGAAATAGAGAGACCGAGAGGCAGAGAAAGACAAGGAGGTGGAGAGACAGACGATAGATGGATGGATAGACAGAGATAGATGATAGATAGGTAGATGGTAGATCATCGATAGGTTACAGATACATAGGTGATGATTGATTGAGTGATAGATGATACATAGAGACAATGGAGATAGAGATAGGCAGACAGAGGAGAAACAGAGAGACAGATGATACATAGATATAGATAATAGGTGATGCATAGAAAGATAATTGATGGAGACATAGATAGACGATACATAGATATTGATGACAGATAATTTGTAGACACCAAATACAGAAATAGACAGAGACTTACATAATAGTTAGAAATATGCAGAAAGTTATGAAAAAGACAGAAAGTGAGAGACTCAGGATTAAAGGAAAAAGATCAACCAATCCAAGTAGAGTCAGAGAGAATGAAACAATACAAAAACGGAAAACTTACCTCGGGTGGGGAGTGAGCTCAGAGACCTAGAGAGACGAGAAGGTAGAATGAGAAAACACACATGAAGAGAGACGGGGTGGAGGGTGAGACAGCATTAGCTCATAGAGCAGGGGTGTGAGTTCTCAGCTCAGGTGTGAAGGGAGCTGTGACAAGGAGGAGCCTCCTGAGTAAACTGCCTCTTCTCCTTCCAGGTCAATACAGGAAACCTCTCTCAGCCCAGCCGGGCCCCACGGTTTGGCCAGGAGAGAACGTGACCTTGTCCTGCAGCTCCTGGACCTGGTTTCACCTGTACCATCTATCCCGGGATGGGGAAGCCCCCGAACTCAGGCTCCCTGCAGTGCAGAACGTCAGTGGAACATTCCAGGCCCACTTCCCTCTGGGCCCTGCCACCCACGGAGGGACCTACAGATGCTTCGGTTCTTTCCATGACTCTCCCTACCACCGGTCAACCCTGAGTGACCCACTGACCGTTTCTGTCACAGGTGAGGAAACCCCATACCTGTCCCATGTCTGATGATCCTAGAGCCACAGCTGAGGAACTTCCTGCTGCTGATGGAGGGAAGCATGGACAGATGCAGAGAGAAGACGAAGCCTGGGTGTGAGGGCGGGGTCAGGGCGCAGGATGGCAGACAGGGCACCTCCAAGCCCTCCTCCATGGCCCGCATGGAGGCCCGATTTAAGGCTCCGAGCAACCAAGCAGATGGAGAGGGAGGTCAGAACAGGCCCAGAGGAGGGGAGACGGGGCTCAGTTTGGGGAGATCAGAGGGTCCCTCAGCCCCTCAACCTCACCCATTTCCCAGCAGCCCATCCTGGTCTCTCACCCACAGAGAGACGTCATCACCAGCAACCCCTATGCCCTTTTCTTTTCATTTGGAAAAATATTTATTGATGTTAAATATACCCATATAATTTACCACCTTTACCTTTTTATGAGACAGAGTCTTGCTCCATTGCCCAGGCTGGAGCACAATTTCACAATCTCAGCTCACTGCAACCTCTGCTTCCTGGTTTCAAGCAATTCTCCTTCCTCAGCCTCCCAAGTAGATGGGATTACAGGCTCACTCCACCACGCCTGGCTATTTTTTGTATTTTTAGTCGAGATGAGGTTTCACCATGTTGGCCAGGCTGGTCTTGAACTCCTGACCTTGTGGTCCGCCGCCTCGGCCACCCAAAGTGCTGGGATTACAGGCGTGAGGCACTGCGCCCGGCCTCACCTTTACCGTTTTTAAGTGTAAAGTCCAGTAGTCATGGATACATTTGTATTCTTTTTGTTGTTGTTACCCTCTCCCCTTCGCTTCCTGGCCTCTGGTAGCCACCATTCTCTCTACCTTCATGAGATCCACCTGCTAGCTCCTGCATGTGGGTGAGAAATGGCAATCTTTGTAATGCCCTCCAGTTCCATCCAGGTGGCTGCAAGTGACAGGACGTTATTGCTTTTATGGAGGAGGGGTCTCCACTGTGTGTATGTGCTACATTCTCTCTATCCACCCATCCACTGATGGGCAGGTAGGTTCACTCCACACCTTGGTTATTGTGAATTGTGCTGCACTAATCGTGGGAGCGCAGATATCACTTCGATACACTGATGTCCTTTCCTTTTGGTGTAAACCCAGAAGTGAGATGGCTGGATACTATGAAAGTTCTCTTTTTAGCTTTTTTTTTTTTTTTTTTTCCTTGAGATGGAGTTTCCCTCTGTAGCCCAGGCAGGAGAGCAATGGCGCCATCTTGGCCCATTGCAACCTCCACCTCCTGGGTTCACAGGATTCTCCTACCTCAGCCTCCCTAGTAGGACTTTTCCCTCTTTGACACAAGGGCCCTTCTTGTCATTGACCTCAGCTAAACCATGGCAATTCATAAATAGAGGAAACATTAATGAATTAAAAGCTTTCCTTATTTTTGTAACTAATATTTGCACGTTTTCTTAGTCTCTTTCCAAGTCTTTGGAAATTACAGGTGCACGCCACCACACCTGGCTAATTTTTGTATTTTTTAGTACAGACAAGATTTTGCCAGGTTGGCTAGCCTGCTTGCAAACTGCTGACCTCAAGTGAGGTGCCCGCCTCGGTCTCCCAACGTGCTGGGATTACAGGCATGAGCCACAACACCTGGCCTCTTTTAAATTTTTTTTAAGACCTTCCATACTTTTCTTCGTAAAACATATTTACATTCCTGCCGACAGGGTACCAGTGTTCTCCTTTCTCTACCTTCTTGCCAGCATTTGTTTTGCCTGTCTTGCAAATAAAAGCCATTTTAATGAGGTGAGATGAAAACTCATTGTGATTTTAATTGGCATTTCTCTGATGGTAAGTGATGCTGACCCCTTTTTCATAGACATGATGGCCATTTGTATGTGTTGTTTGTGGAGAAATGTCTGTTCATGTCTTTTGCTCTTTTTTTCATTAAATTATTTGTTTTATTGGGTTGTTTGAGCTCCTTATATTTCTAGTTTTTTGATTCTTTGTTTGTTTGTTTGTTTGTTTTGGGATGGAGTCTCGCTCTATTGCCCAGGCTGGAGTGTAATGGTTCCATCTCGTCCCACTGCAACCTCCCCCTCCCAGGTTCAAGGACCCTCCTGCCTCAGCCTCCTGAGTAGCTGGGATTACAGGCATGTGCCACCATGCCCGGATAATTTTGTATTTTTAGTACGCACAGGGTTTCTCCATGTTGGTCAGGCTGATCTCAAACACGCAACCTCAGGTGATCTGCCGGCCTGGGCCTCCCAAAGTGCTGGGATTAGAGGCGTGAGCCACCATGCCTGTCCGATTTCTAGTTATTAATCCCATCTCAGATGCATAGTTTGTGAATAGTTGCTCATATTCTGTGGGTTGTCTCATCACTTCTTTGGTTTATCTTTCGTCGTGCAGAAGTTGCTTAGTTTGATGCAATCCCAATGGTCTATTTCTTGCTTGATTACTTGTGTTTTTCAGGTTTTAGACAAAATGTCTTTTCTCATGCAAATGTCCTGGAGCATTTCCCCAAAGTTTTCTTCTACGCATTTCATAGGTTCAGGCCTCAGACTCATCTTTCATCCATTTTCATTTGATTTTTGTGTATGGTGAGAGGTAGAGGTGCAGTTTCATCCCTCTGCGTGTAGATACTGTTTTCCCTGTACCGTTTATTGAAAAGACTGTCCTTTCCTGAGTGTAGGTTCTTGGCACCCTTGTCAAAGTCCATTGGATGGGCTGTGCATGGTGGCTCACACCTGCAATCCCAGCACTTTGGGAGACCAAGGTAGGTGAATCACCTATGGCCAGGAGTTGGAGACCAGCCTGGCCAACATGGTGAAACCCCTTCTCCACTACAAGTACAAAACTTAGCTGAGCACAGTGGTTGGTGCCTGTCATATCACTAGTCGGGTGTCTGAGGCAAGAGAATTGCTTGAAACCAGGAGATGGTGGTTGCAGTGACCTGAGACTGTACCTCTGCACTACAGCCTGGGTGACAGAGTGAGATTCCATTAAAAAAAAAAAAACAAGCCATTGGATGTAAATGCATGGGTTATGTCTCTGTTCTTCATTCCCCTCCATTGTTCTATGTGCCTTTCTTTATGCCAGCGTCATGCTGTTTTGCTTACTACAGCTCTGTCACATATTTTTAAGTCAGGTAGTGTGATGCCTGTGTTTTTTCTTTATACCTTGAAGTCTCAAGACAGTGGGCATCACATACGAAAGTTATGGAGGAGAGGACCCCAGGACTCCCAGGGTCCAACATTAGATAACAGAGTGTTGGCCATGAATGAACCTCAAAAATTCCCATTGGGTAGAAGACAGGCATCCTCATTTCCACACCTCTCTCCTGTCCTGTGTTCTAGGAAACCCTTCAAGCGGTTGGCCTTCACCCACAGAACCAAGCTCCAAAACTGGTGAGTAAAGGATCCCTCCTATCTTTGCTTTAGGAAACCTGGGGAGGTGGAAGCCTTGGATTCAAGCGTTAGCTCAGCATCTCCCCGCTCTGTGGTTGACGGCCTGTCCTCTACCATCTCTGAACTCCAGACACTCAAACAGGAAAAGGGATCTGGGGCCAGCACAGGGCTCGGTGAAGTCTCTTACTCTCCAATTTTCTGCAGGTCAGACGTCCTTCAGGCTAGAAGAATGATTGCAAATCTGACATCCTTCTCAGGAAAAAATGCAGTGTTTGTTCTGCCTGCATTCCTAACTGGAGGATAAATGCCTGAGGGAACTGAGGGAGGGAAGGGAAGGGAACATCTGATGAGAGTGGGGCGTTTTAGAGAAGTTCCACTTGCCAAGGAATTAACTCCTGTGGGTCATGATGCAACCCTGGCTGACTCTGCAGAGCAAGAGCGCTGCAGTAAGAGAGAACCGAGCTCATGCGTGCGCACTTTGACTCCATCACTCATTCGACGCAACCACTCACTGCAACCTCCACCTCCTGGGTTGAAGCGGGAGAATGAGTTCAGCCCAGGAGGTGGAGGTTGCAGTGAGCCGAGATTGCAGCACTGCACTCCAGCCTGGGCGACACAGGGAGGCTCCGTTTCAAAAACTAAAATTAAAAAATATGAAAATATTATATAACTCACACAAATGACAAAGGCACCTGAATTCCAATTATCATTTTCTACTTCTCTATAATTACTTTATTGATCCCTAATCTAATACATTAGAAAATCAGCCTAGTACCTCTTCCCTATTTGGAAAGCATGAGATCATATGGAAAATGGGAAAGCCCTCGACCCACCAGCACAGGCCCTGAAATAGAGAAAGTGCTCTATTCATGGCATAAAAGTTGCCCCCTCACCCAAATCCCCCACCTCACCCCTACTTCCAATCACGTGTGGAGACACAGATAGATTATGGGGAGGTAAAAACTAACATTCTTTGGAGTGAGCTCAGTTCTTGGACTCAGAGACCAATGCCAGCGCTATCTCCTGGTCCCCTTTCCTACTAATTCACAGAAGGACAGGCTGGATTTTGAAGCGATAGATGATGGAGGGGGTTGTTCCTCCCCTGCCTCTCAGGTAGAACAGCAGCCTATTGTACGTCTGATCACAAAAAGTAACACGTTGCCCATGGGATTCCGCACTATTTCCTGGTTATTTGATATAAGACAGTTCAACTTCACTTCTTTTGATTTTGATTTCACTTTTTTTCCTTTTCTTGGAGAATGTAATTTGAGTCAAGAGTGTTGTGGATGTGGAAGTTGTAAAGCACGTTCACTGTGTATCCATCCCAGTCCGTCTTCCTAGAGAAGACTCTGAACGCCTCCTGGACTGCTCCTGGGGCCATGCCAGTTTCTATCACTGACAGTCACTCCAGGGACACAGAACACAGACAGAATAAATTACATACAGCAGGTTCATTACTCACAGATCAGCAGCAAGTGACAACAGAAGCCTTCCTTTCAGGGCGAGCCAGTCCCCCGAGGCTCAGAAAACCTGCCCAGGACACACGGAGTCACCCCATTTGCAGTGTAGCTGGGGGAACCGAAAACCAGCCCCGCCTGGGTTTTGCACCCTGGAGCCACAGGAAGCACTGAGCTAAAGCACTGCATCACATCCTCCTCTAGGAAGAGCAGGAGGAGAGCCCAGGCTGTTCTGAGACGTTGCTCCTGATCTCAGGGCGTGGCTGTCTTGGTCCATTTTTGCTGCTATCAAAGAGCACTTGAGCCTGGGTAACTTCTAAAGAAAACAGATGTGTTTGGCTCACAGTTCTACAGGCTGTACTAGAAGTATGGCACCAGCATCTATTTTCTGTGATGCCTCAGGCTGCTCCCACTGTGGCAGAAGAGAAGTGAGTGTGTGTGTGCAGAGACCACAGAGATCACACGGCAAGAGAGGGAGCAGGAGGCGGAGGTGCGATGGAGCTTCCAAGTTCTCTGTCACAACCCACTCTCCAGGAACTAGTAGAGGGAAAACTTGGTAATCTTGTCTCATGGGGACAGCATTAATCTATTCATGATGGATCTACCCCCATGACACAGGCACCTCCCAATAGGTCCAACCTCCCACACTGGGGGTTAAATTTCAATGTGAGGGTTGAAGGGCATCAAACATCTACACCAAAGCAGTTGTATCATCAGCTATTTCTGTGGTTACTATGAGAACTGTAACTGAGAAAGCAGGAGAAAGCCGGGTCTCCCGCCATCTGGGTGCTTGTCCTAAAGAGACGTTGTACGTGGCTACCTGCCAATCAGGAGATAAGAGACAATGCAGGAAGAGGAACTGCTGTGGTCAGCTTCTTATTGGATTCCCATCTTCCTCCAGGTAACTCCAGACACTTGCACGTTCTGATTGGGACCTCAGGGGTCATCATCCTCTTCATCATCCTCTTCTTCCTTTTTCATCGCTGGTGGTCCACCAAAAAGAGTAAGTCTCACGAAGCAGAGGCCAGAGACCTCAGGGCCGTGTGGGGAAGCGTGATGGGAGCACACAGGTGTGTGTTCCTCATTGGCAGGATGGTCTCTGGCCCAAGGCAGGAGCCGCAGAGGCAGGGCTTTCTAGAGAGCGCACCAGACACTCTGCCCCTGCCCTCAGCTCACAGACCTTTGCCTGATTCTGAACTGTATCCTCACGTCCCTGCCGCCACTGACATCCAGGAGAAGGTTCCATGACACGCAGAAAGTGGGAGACAGAATCAATGGATGGGAATTGAGAGCTCTTCATGGGAGGGGTCCTTGTACTCAGAGAGATAGAATGTGTGAGTCAGGTCGTTGGCAGCTGAGGGGCCTCAGGCACCCATGGCCTCCCCCTGTGTGTTGGTGTCTGCACATGAAATGAGGACCCAGAAGGGCCCTCCCAGGGGTTTTGATGACTTCCGTCTCCTACAGATGCTGCTGTAGTGGACCAAGAGCCTGGGGCGGACAGAACAGTGAACAGGGAGGTAGGTCCTCCTTGGCCCAGCCTCGGGCATGGAGTCTTATTCCCTAATAGTCCCGAAGAATGTGAGCCCCTCC